ACCCGGGTACCCCCCAGGAGGCCCGTCGCGCGGCAAGAAGGCAGAGTCGGCGGACGAGTTGCGCGCGTACTATAGGGATTTCGCGTCAACCTAAACAGAGTGTCCCACTGCACGTCCTACATCGCACGCCACGCGCTCCAACTCGTCCGTCCCGGGTTCCACCGGGAAGCGCCAAGCTAGGGTAAACTCGGGGTCTGAGCCAAAAACTCACCCAAAATTATGGGGCAAAATGGGGATCCCATTTCATGGATTTCTAACGGATTTCCGCGTTTTTGCCAGAGCTATCACTGACTTTCATTCTAAACTAACCCGGAAGTATCGCACTCACTGCCTTTATGGGGAGCAGCATCACCCACTTCATCCTTCAATATTTTGCCCAGTCTTGGAATTAGCCTAGCAGGAGGCCAATGCTCAACTTACTCTCTCAGTAGCGTTTCGATCTCTTCGTTACGTTTCCGTGCAGCTTTTGTGACCTGAACCTGCTCGACGATCTCGTTCACATCTTCGAATGGAACCGAGTGCAGATTGATATTGACGAATGTCATCTGTAAGAACGATTATCTCATCGATATCGCGACTGCCTCATGAAGTAGGGTTCACCCACCTCTTTCCCATGAATTCTGAATCGCGTCAGGAGAAATCCGGTCCTCTGTTGTGAAATGTCGCGTGTGCCGTCTTCCCTCTGAAAGTACAGAGAGATCACTCATGGTCGCTTCGATATAAGTAAGACTACTCAAACATAATTATAAATCAAGTGAAGCCGAAGTGGGCAGAGCGTGTCAAAAAATGGCTGGTTACACTCCTATGAGCAAAAATTTACAACGCAGTGACGGGACATCTAGGGAGCGGATAAAGTTCAGTGGTGGAGGGACGGGCCTTTTTTTCATCATTTGTGTGACTGGAGTTGGAGGTGGGGAGAGGTGGCACTCCACCGCGCTCTCGGATACTGAGGATAAAGATAAGAACACTTGTCACACGTAATCGAATCTAACCTCAAAAAATTCTGATAGGTACCGGTGTGGTGTAAAAGTGCTCCTAAAGTGCTTCACATTTCTATCATCACATTTCGGCCTGGAGTACCCACAGGAAAGGGCCGTAAACCAGGTGAATGGACATCGTTGCCTAGACCTAAGGGTGCGGGAGCCCCAGGGTGGGCGAAAAAGTGGCGAAAATTGCCTAGGGGTGCAGAATGTGTGCGATATAGGACGATGTGAATCCTTATCAAGAGTGTATTGAAAAAGAGTCGTACACCCGTGATCTGATTCTAAGCGTAAGAGAGTCAAAACTAGTGCTCTGTGGTACCCTCTACGGATGAGATAGCAGGGAATGGCCCAAACCCTATTTTCACCATCATCATAGGCATGGCGTTCGCCAAGGAAAACATGTGTAGAATGGAAATTCCTTCGCCCCGTTCTATATGGCTGGAGCCCCTTGTGGTGCATTACGTTGGTGTGTATCCAATTTTGTTTAATAAGTGTAAAGGCCAAAGAATTTGGAAGGGGTTCAAGATGGAGATATTGAAAAGAAACGGGACTAATTAGTTTGGCTAAAGAACAAACTAGAAGTTTGAAGACAAATTACAGCGCTCAACCGATAATCGGAATTCGAAACACGAAAATCCAATTTTATGAAACCAATGCTAAAAATGATTTACAAGGAAGACTCACGTAGAATTGCCGTCGGGCTGTTGGTTGCTCTCCGAAAGTATTTCTGATGAACCCATCGGCTTCTGACCTTCCCACGATAGAATCGTGTCCAGCACGAATCTGTCGGTATCCTGTGTTCAGATATCTGTCGAACTGCTGTACAGCCGAATGATCGCGAAACAAGTAGAGATTGCCAAGGCCCTGAAACCATAATATCTCCTCACCTACACTTTTATAATCAACTACTGGACACTTACTGTGACGGTCGTGTCAAAAAATGCCAATCGATGAAGTCGAAATGCTTGTGAATCTCAGGTATGTCGATGATCCTGGAATGAACACATATATTTGGAATTGAATCAGAGATGCCTCAAAATTGAGTGCCCACCCGCTTATAATCACTCGGGAAATATAATCGGGATCATCTGCTGAATGGAGTCCTTGTACGTGGACAACGGCGAATTCGGGTTTTTGTTCGGCGATTTCCTTTGGCCACTTCAGATGACCACCTCCTCAGATCATCGTCCTGGAATCGTCACGAAATTTGAATATATCTGTTTTGAGCCAAGAATCCACAAAAACGTTTGTAGATCAAGTTGTGATAGAAATAAAGATTGGGCAATTTATCCTCCAAGTTCAGGTAGCCAGACGTGGGCGATCACTGGAGCTTAAAGTAAGCCGAGGCGTAGGCGTGCGCCTAAGCTTGGGCGTGCTCACTGGCTTGTGCTTGGGTAAGCTCCGGGATAGAATGGGTGTGTAAGAGGGTTCAATAATGAAGCTGGGAGTGGAGAGTAGTCCTGGAAAGAAAAAGAAAGCAAAAGAAAGTCCGTTCACGCCCCCGAACTATGCTCCCCTCTCTTCACTCCGCATTCCATGGTGGGATGGCGGTGGGGCGTATTGGACGAGTTTCACGAACGACTAGTCCCACTTGCTTCCAAGGCCAATGACACTGAGCCGCAGTTGCCAGCGTACTTTTCAGATTAGGGCTAGGCTTAAGCTTGCCTACGAGCAAACCTCACCTTTTGCTTTTCGAAAAGCAAACGAAAAAAAAATTAGCTGACGTAGTCAAGCAGCTGATTCACCATGATTCCGCTTCTATTAGGAGTTTGGTGGGCGTACCCTCACTCTTATCGCTTCACTCGTATTGATGAGCGGTAATGTCCAACCAGCTTAAAATTCATATGGATAAAAGGATAAAGCATTTGCCATAGACTTATCCTTTTCCTTGATGATCCACGCATCCCACTTCCATTCAGAGCCGTAGTCGCCAGACTAACACGACTTGGACTATATTATGAGTTGTGGGGCCAGCCGATGTACATTACATCCAAAGAGGTGTGGAACCATTCAACCAACTGCGATGGGATGAAAGGCTTGGTCTGCCAGCATGGTGTACAATCCTTGATTTGATCGTTCTGAACCCTCGCGCTAGGCTGCACTTTATGTCACTTCAATTTTGCCCTAGGGGGAACAACGTTCCAATTTCACCACCTTGCCTATCCCTGGCGCCTAATTTTTACTTTTATAACGGTTCAGCCTGCCCTACACATCAGCACTAAATTTTGCTTACTGGTCAGCGCTTTTGAGTAGAGCCTCAGTTCCAATTTTCCTTGCTTTCTTTATGTAAGAATTTCGAATAAATTAGCACTCGAAATCCCCTCTCATGGAGTCGTCATCTGAAGAGCGTATTTTATTGCGCCCGTTGAGAGCGATTAACTTTGAATCCGCTATTATGCCGCCATAAATAAAATCTTCTGGGGCAGTTGTAGGATTTGCCCCCATTCCCATGGTGATTATGTAAACTGCTGTCGTCAACCTAGTCATAGCTCAAGAAAGTATTCAGAAGAGAAGTTTCTGCTTTCAAGTTTCAAGCGAACCTTTTCTTTGAATACTCTTCAACAGAAACGCAATGACTCAACACCTCAACAATGGTGAGGGTAGGCATTCGCGCGCACTTAACGGTTCGTTCAATAGAAGAAGAGAATCACAACAATTCGCAATTCGAGTTGACAACTTCTGAAGAAGCGCCTTTGGGAGAAACCTCACGTATTTGATTGTACAGCAGTGCAACGGCAGCAGCGTTCGGCAAAAGCTTATTAAGATAAATATCGTCCAAATATAAACTCTGAGAAAAAACTCAAAAATTGCACGCCCTCTCAGAGAAGAGGGTAGGGTGCTCTGGAAAATCAATCTTTCTAGGGTGATTCGTTTTTTTTTACTCGTTCGACCCCATTCGGAGCTGTGGTGCATTAAATTTTTTTCCTTGGCCATCTCTATGGCTCATGGGGTTCAGCGTTTTATCATCCCAAACAGGTGGGGCTTCAAAATAAGATTTCTAAGCAACACACTGCTTACTTGTTCTGGGCTAGATTTGGTCCCATGAATGGTACAAGTGCAGTGGCCCCTCCAGCCTCATTTCATGCCTTATAGGAGGAATTCACGATAAGAACGAAGGTCAAAGAAGGGGAAAATTGCATAGTTGGGAGACAGGCGGACCTCCTGAGGGTGCTGACCGACGCGCAATTGGCAGCGAAAGATTTGACCTCGGCGATCTAGCATGGCTCACTCTTGGCGCGGTTGGCGGGGTACGCCCACCGACTATCTAATCACTCGCCGCAGGTCTATACGTGGCGAGTGATTAGATAGCAGAGAAGCGCAAATCAACGGGCAAGGAAGAGTCCCAATTCTCGGGTTTCGGGCCTTTATAAATGGTTTCTTCTTCTTCCCTGCTCTCACTGGCCACCTCTATTTATTTCCAGTGAGCTAACTTTTCATTTTAAATTCTGCCTCTGAGTGGCCATAATCGAAAGCTACAGGAGAAAAGAAGTGTCCGTGCTCGTATCGGTGATATAATAGAAGAATTGTATGTCATCCATTTGGGAGCTGGTCGTTGGAGGAGTCAGACGGATTAGCATAGCTAGAACTCAAGAGAACTGTCCAGGAGTTCAACAGTTTTAACCGTCCCATTTTGCACTGTATTTTTCGCGTACAAAATTATCAAAGCCACTCAACAAATGTCATTAGCGTCAAGAGCATCAGGAAACACACGTGAAATCGACCGTTTTAAGACCGACAGTCGTCGTGGGCCACCAACTTTCATAACAAAGCCCTGCGGAAAACAGAATATATGTATAGTTCACTATTTCATCCAACCCACCCGTCCCACCTTCCTGTCTAACTAGGTCTGCCCTTAATAAAGAATGTTCCACATATATAGAAGCTAGAATGCTAAACTGTGAAAGCCTTCGGTGGTATTTCCTTGCTATGGTGACGTTTCAGCTGACTTGAAGAGATTTCTCCTCAAAAAAGGTCGTCAATACTACTGGAGAGTTTCTCTGTTTACACATGAAAGTACAGAAAGGATGGCAGATGTTGACAAAAAGTGAAAAATAAACATAATAAAACTTATTGAATTGCACAACACTGAAGAGAAGCAGATGTAACCGTGAAACTTCGAGAATGATTTTAATTGTCAACAGAATTTCCAGAAATATAACACCAGCAATTATACCTTTTTGCCTATACAGGACACATCACCAGTGATGAAGACCTGCTTGATGTAATCGATCATCTGTCCGGGTCCTGAAACGTATACCGTAACTCATACTATATGGTATAAAGTCTAGAGACGGTAAAGTCAGAAGGCGAAACATATTTCATAAGTAAAGGAGCAACAATGAATATTCTTGGAATGCGCCATGCACTCCCACGGGACTTTTACTCGTAGAAGCAATTTTGTGCGCACGTTGCCCTTTACTTCAGTAATCACTAACACGAACAGCTCAAATGATAAGAGTGATTGACATTAAAGCCATCGCCAATGAGAATGATCAATTATTATCGGTACCTCTGAACATGAGCCAAGAGATTATCGAATCATACTTGTGGCCAGCTCGCTTTCCGCCATAGATCTAGTTCGTATTGATTGGATGATAGCCAAAAACTAGCCGGATTAGGAGCAGAATAACAGAAAATAAACTAGAGCGACAACCTCATCCAGTGAGCTCTGTACATGGAAGGGAGGCAGGAATAGTATTTGAGGGTCGGTCTTCTGTCCCTATTTGGGTTTTAACTCTAACAAAGTCGAAGAAACTCGGGTGCTAGCCTTGTGAGCACTGCTTGATTGCTGTCGCTAGGATGAGCTTTGAGCCAAGTTCGTGCGAAGAAACTCTTATTCCCCCTCTTATTGCCAGAGC